CAGGACAGTTTGAAAACATTGAAAAAATTGCACATTTGAAAAAATGGCAAAGAAAAGGTACTGTACATATGATAAGTTCGGGTGTTCTTAGGTGTCCGTATCTTTAAGTGACTGTAAAAATGATTGGAGAGTGGCGATGTCCTTATTTAAGAGAGTGGTGGCCTGGGGGAAAAAACTGTTCAGGTGCCTGGTGGTTCTGGTCCTGATGGATCTGAACCTTCGACCAGATGGGAGGGCTGTGAATAGGGAGTGAGCCGGGTGAGTTAGGATCTCCTGTTGGTGGCCTCTGAGGTGGCTCGCTGTGCACAATGGTGGCTCTGTAAAGGTGTGAGCGAACTTTGGGGGAGACGTTCATCTTGTTGAGCAATCTGAGGAAGAACATCCTCTGATGCGCCCACTTGATAACCTTGGTGTGTCTCCCACTTGAGATCACTGGTGATGGTAGTGCCCAGGAACTTCACCGAGCTCACCACCTGAACTGCAGAGCTGTTGATGAGAAAAGAGGGTGGAGGCGGGGATGCCTGCGGAAGTCCATGACCATCTCCATCGTCTTGTTGACGTTGAGATCCAGGTTGTTGCGTGCACACCACGCTGCCAGCTATGACTCCGTGTCCATATACGCCGTCTCATCGTTGTTCTTGATGAGAACCAGTACCTTGGTGTCACCCGCAAACTTGACCAGTTTGATTGATCAGTGGCTGGAGAGGCAGTCATTGGTGTACAGGGAGAACAGGTAGGGGGAGAGGACACAACCTTGTGGAGCATCGGTCTTGGTGGTGTGGGGGAAAGGCAGGAAGCGGCCAACTCGCACTTGTTGCTTCCTGTTGGTGAGGAAGTCAGTGATCCCCTAACAGATGGGGCTGGGAACTTGTAGCTGTTGTTGTTTTGTGTTCAGGCGGTCTGGGAGGATGGCCGAGCTATAATCCACGAACAGGATCCTGACGTAGGAGCTCGGCTGGTCCAGGTGCATCAGTATGTGGTGGAGGCTGAGGTGGATGGCGTCGTCAACGGAGCGATTTGCTCTGTAGGAAAACTGTAAAGGGTCCAAGAGGGGGTCGTGGGTTTGAGGTATGAGGTGTCTGAAAGCTCTTCATGACCACAGATGTCAGGGTGACAGGTCTGTACATTATCCCATCCTTCTTCACAAGCAGCACGATGATGGGGTGCAGAGTGTGAAGGAGTTATGGGGGGGATAAGGGATGGGAGGGCCATCACTCCAACATGATGGCCCTCCCATCGTGAGGTCTTAAATGAATTGGGCTCAGCCCCATTTGTGGCCACCCTCTGGGGCCCCACACCCAGTTAAATCCATTCACCCAAATGGCCGCCTGCCACTACCCAAGGCCCCCCAGAGACATCATCCACCACCGCATGGCAGCACCATCCACGGGCCACCAAAGCCGACCACCGGATTAGATGCTTGACCCCCCCACAGAAAGCAACCCAACCTCCACACCCAGGCAAGCGCCAGGATCCCTCAATCTTGAATTCCCCCACAGCCAACCCCATAGCTTCCTAGAGAGGACCTGAGTGCACAGGTATCAGTCATATGTTGTTTTGATGAGGCAGTCAATATTTCAATAATTTAAAGAAGTTTCTAAACTGGTTAATAAACAGTTTTGTCTTTGTTTTCAAGTACAGGAGAATAGTTTTATTTGCAATACATAGGGCAATGAGGATTGTTGGTGCTGTATTAATTTCTGTTGTGGTACCACCCAAGTTGGTCGGTAAACACAGTGTTGGGCATGCGGGGATATTACATTTGAGCCATGCGGACAGCTCCTCACAGACCTCTGTACAGAGTTTCTGGACAGGTGCACAGGACCACAAAGCGTGCATCTAATTATCGGGTGTGTTACCTGTCCCCCTTGAGCAGATATAGGTGTGTGTAAGACCCATCTTAAATATTCTTTGTCCTGTATAATGTATTCTGTAAAGAATTTGATATTGTATAAATTGTAAATGTAAGTTTTTATAAGTATTCCAAAGGTGTCAAAAATTATAATCTGAATTTAAAGATAAGTCTGTCTCCCATTTTAAGGTTGGTAAGGAAACTGAGATGTCTATTTTGGATAATACTTGGATACTGTATGTCTTTGAGATACATTTTGGGGAACAGATGTTCGAAAATTCTACTACCCTGGAAGGGAGTGGTAAATCTAGTTGTTTGAGGATACATTTATTATATTATTTTTTTTGCTACTTATTCCATACAGTGTTATAATTGTATCAAATTAAATAAAATTGCCATCCAGGATTATGTATTCCACAGGCTTTATTCCTTTGTTTTTCCATACAATAAAATGTTATTGCTTTGTTATGTGTTTTGCAGGGGCCAGGATTGTTCTAGCTGGGTGGTAACTTACAAGGATAGAGTGAGGATTTGGTTAACGTATATTAAGAAACTCCCATCTGTTAGAGATAAGCTGATGTTGATGCAACAAAATGATTGTACATTAAAGTATAATCTTTTTTGTCTTTAGGTTTTTTCATTTTATTTTCTCTTTCTCTTTGAATGCCAAAATTAGATCTGGTTACCAAAATCAGATGTCTTTACAAGACACAACTGTCAATAATTCCTTCCAGAAATGAATTTGCCATGTGTAGAAGTCAACAGAATTAGTACTCGAGAGCAGACAAAACACAGAGTACACAACCATTTGTGTGTGCAAACACTGTCCAGAGTAGGATTTCATAGAGAGCTTTGAAACTTCTTAAATCACATTGTGTCTCAAAGCATTTTGCAGAAGATGCAGTAAAGGTAAGCAGGCCAGAGCATTTAAAATGGAGTACTCGGTATGAGATTTAGAAATTAAATGGTTAGAAAGGGGAATCAGCTGATTGATCAGCTGAAGTAAGCTTGTGTTGAGATCATTCTGAGCCGATTTCATGGCCCGTCTGAAATAACACTGAGCTCAATTTTCTTTCTTTCATGTGACACCTATGCTTTCGCAGTCGATAGCCACAGACCTTGTACAACATGTAAACGGATATGAAAATGAATCTGCTTTCAGAGAATGAGGGCATATTGAGGAAAAAAGAGGGACAAAAAGGTCACTGACTGTGATGATGGTACTCTTTGGGTTCTGCTGGTTGCTTCAGGCTGGGCAGGCTCAGGGTGGAAGCCTGCTCAGTAACACCTGCTGGATTTATCTTCAGTCCCACTTCAAGCCTTACTCCACTAGGACACCTCCTTTCCCCCATTGGACCTCTGGCACCTGGACCTGGCATACCCTCACCGGCTCCCTGGTACCTTCACCCTCCCTCCTAACCAATAAATCACCCATTATTCCTACATCCCGAGGTTCTGTGTCTGCTTTTAGGTTCAGTCCTCACTTATTCCATAACAACTGACAGCAGGCGGATATGCAATTGTAGTTTTTATTACGTTTCAAAAAGATAAAAAATCGTAATTTTTAAAAAAATTTGAATCATACTAACTAATGCTCAATCCAAAATGTACGAAATCAACATTATTTTCCCTGAATAAAGGCACACGGACATAATAAAATGTACAGACATGAATAAAGTTATCAGAAGAAAGCATCTGACCTCAAACATGATGGGTCATTGTTGAGAAAACAACCCATCCTAATTTTACCCTAAAAAAACATATTGTGTCTTATTTTGTTCATCCAAATATATAAAAAACAATCTACCGACAAAGAACCATTTGCTTCACATGGATATAAGAATTTCTTTGAGTGTTCATTGGAACTGTTCACTCTAAACAAAGTAGTTCCAATTAAAACAGCCATGCTGATGTCTGTGGATTACTGAATGTGCATGCCAAATATTTAAGAGGAAGAGAAAATTGATATCTTGGAGGAAAAAAAAACATGAGATAAAAATTGCCAGACACTCATACTATCTTCGAAGTCTGTTTAGTTGAAATCTGAGAAAACCTTTTTTTTTTTTAAAGTTACATGCAGTCACGTATCAACTTGTGCTTCATTTATTGATCCAAACAGCTTTCATGCTGCACACATAAATTTCATCTAACATCTTGTAGAATTTTTTTCAACAGCTGTATTGAATTACCACGCACAAACACGGGTGCACACACACACACACACACATACACACACACACACACACACACACACACGTATATTGTTACCAAACCAGGGCTAAAAGTACCGCCAGTACTGTATGATCCACAATCGCAGTCTCACCCATAACAGTAACTACACAAAGTTGAAGGACTCTACTTACTTCACAGAACTACACATCTATTTTTGCTGAAACACAGACCCTTCCAGGAACACATTAAAGATTCCGCGTATAGGACAGGGGGAGAAATTATGCATCTGGTCTCTTCTGTGGCAGCTTGGCAATGCAGCCAAAAAATCTCTGCTTGCCAACAACAGAATTTCAGCGAGAAAAGAACACAACAGCGGAAAACATATTTTTACAATGTCATTCCAAAGCATATCAATGTCCCATACATTATATATCATACAAAGAGTGAGCATCAGGCTCTAATCATTAAAACCATCAGACCAGCACGGTTAGGCTAGATGGGGGGCCACAAATACCCCAAGTCCACCAAATGGTTTCTGTTTGAGGGCCTGGAGGGGATGGGCATCCGTTGCTTCTCGCTGGTCATCCCACTGGTCGAGGGGACTACCAACTGCATCAGCAATGTCCTCATTAGTCATTGGGAGTGGCACCTCCACTGGTGACCATACGTCAGCATTTTGGGGACCCGACCACTATCCATCACTGTTCTGGAGTACTATGGTTTCAGCCTGTCATGATGAGCAGCACTGACACTTGACGTAAGGTTTATCTGGTTGCGGGAGACCAAATCATCCACCAGAACCACAATAAAGAAGTGTAATAAACTGTTTGAAAAAACTGTTTCAGCATAACATGCTGAGTAGTAGTGATGAGTAGTGTTGTTTTCTATTTCTGGTAGTGGCCCTGTATCCAGATTGATGCTTTCGGTGACTTCACACCCAAAAAAACATCAGTTTGGAAACAATCCCGTGGACCTACATCCGGTTGCTCAATAAGCCGCAACGACACACGGGATCATCACATCCCAGTCCCTGTGACACATTTCTGCCATATCGGCAAAAATCTTCTGCTAAGTGGCACTCCGGACTGGTGATGAAGCAGGTTTTCAATTCCTGACAGTCTGCACATTTTGTGAAATACCGCAAATAAAGTTAGTGGCCTAATCACTGTGCAGGGAACATGGTGCCCCATACCTGTAGATCCACTCACAAGTGATTTTTTCCCTCCTTTGCTTGTTGACCATCCTGGATCGACGATCGCTAAACTGATTGATAAACTGGATATGCTTCCACTCACTCACTGAAATAGCCACTCACTATAAGGATATAGTGATTGTGTCTCTCAGTATCATTCAGTGGTCCCATCAGATCAAATGCTACCCTCTCCATGGGTATGCCCACTGTAATGGAAGCCATGGCTGCCTTAAAAATGTTCTTTGGGTGAGCCTTGGCAGCACAGCTGGTACATGTGTGGGACAATAGTGTAACGTCATTCTTTCTATTGTACCAGAGAAAGCTATTCTTGACGCAAGCCAGTGTTTCTTCTAATCCCAAAATGGCCGCCCATCAGAGCATCATGCAGGTGTTCCATCACAGCCGGGCAATATGCCTGTGGGGTATAACATTTTCCCCTCACTACAGTAGAAATTTCTCATTAAAATGCTTTCTTTTTTATAAAATTGGATCCACTGAGCCCTGTAAGCTTTAGAGTCGGTGTACTACTGTAAATGTTACTGTGTCCAAATCACAACAAGCTCCCCTATAGTTGAAAGAATCCAACAAACTGTTCTTCGAATCACGTCGATCCACATTTCCTATGTGCAAACATAAAAAGGAATAAAGGGGAGAGAGGACTCCATTATTGAAAAAATAAGTTTCAATTCAATCACATTTTATTTTATATCAAAACACATCAAAGCAACAGTTATCTCACAGCACTTTCCAAACAGAGCAGGTCAGACCCTACTCTGAGTTATTTACAGAAGCCCAACAGTTCCCACCAAGAGCAAGCACTAGGCAACACAGGCAAGGAAAAACATCCTTTTAAGAGGCAGAAACCTCGATGAAAAATGGCAATGATATTGATACTAATGATAATGATAGCAGTAATATAGCAATAAGACTATGAACAGTGGCTGTAATTGTAGCAGAGTAGGAACACAGGGTTTCCAGCTAAAAAAACTGTTGTAACTCATATGTGAGCCTCCACTCTCCACAAGCATATACATACATTCTCTATATAGGGTGAGGAACTGTTGTCTTTCTTAAGTCAGCTATTTGTCAAGTGCCCTTTAGACCTGAAAAACAGCTCTGATGAATTCATTAAATTACAGTAAATTATTTATTTTTTTTGGTCTGCATTTTGTCTAAATTGATCTTCTGGCCACACAAGTCTGTCCACACCACATGATTATGATTTTATACAGCTAAACCGCCACACACGAATTCACAATTTTAATTTGATTACCTTATCCAACCTTGACTCTTTTTTAAAGTTGTTGTCGTGAGGAGGGATCCTCTTGTTAATGCCTTGGCATACTGTAACCAGAGAGTTCAGCGAAAGAAAGCAGGTGTTGAATGAAGATGTCTCTTTCAGTTTTGACACAGCAAAGAACTATTTTGTGTGTGACTCATACAGTGAGTCAGAATGAGAAGAATGAGTGACACATATTTACTCAAAGGGAACCAGGGAGTAACCCTGAGAGGGAGAGTTGGAATTCTAGATATCCTGTGAATAGTTTATAGTTGTTGTCATGATTCCTGGGTGTATGTTTGTTAGTTTTTTTTCTGTGGAAGCTGCAACTACCAGGAGGGCATTGCAGCATAGAAGCACCTGGTTAAGGTGATCAAACGCAAAGGCATTTAAGGAGCTGCCTGTGGATCATTGTTTGCCTGAGGGTTAATTCAAGTGGTACCTCTACCTGCATATTACAGATTTTTATGTCTTTCCCAGTGTGTTTTCTTCTTGGTAACCATGTCTGAATTTTTCTAGTGTTCCTCTGGAGTCTTCCCCTTGACACTACATCGCACCCTTCCTGGAGGGCACTCCAACAACCAGGTGTTCACCAAGCCATTTTAACCAGGAATTCCGCCTGTCTCCCATCTTCTGCCTGCTTGTCTGCCGTCTAACACTACCAGCTTCTGTCCCCCCTGAATTGAGGACCTGCATGGGCCTGCCCTCTGCCTACTGCACCTGGACTCCACCCCACCCCCAACGCATTTCCCAGCGCCACCCTAGAGCCATCCTTTTCCTGAGAATGCTTCCTTGCCCTGTGACAGTTGCATTTATCAAGGCATTATTGAAGATTGGATTATTGCCTTTGTAGGTAAAGTTGGGTAAAGACTTGTGTGTCTACCATCGGAGTACACCAAGCAAGGCCACCGGACAAGGCAAACCTGTCCACTTTGAAATATCTGTTGTCAATCCAGGTGGTAAACCTGTTTTTAAAATGTGCCCCAATCCCATTCCTGTTGTCTCTGGCTCCCGTGGAAAATTTTGCATAAACAAACAGCACCACAACCCTAATACCCAACCTTAATTGTCTGTGGGGTTGTGGAACTGCCAGTCGGCAGTAAATAAAGCTTTGTAAATGCTTGTACCAAAAACCTGTCACTTCCCAGTTCTCACTGAGAAATGTTTTAAGCATAACAACGATGCTACCCCAGCTGCAATAATGTCATAATGTTCCATGGTGATGTGAATATCTACCTTGACTGACCTAATTCTTTCAATTTACTATAATCAATACACGTATTTGACCTGCAACTGCTCTGCAGTCCTCCGACTCACAAAGTAAGAAAAGTTTTAGGTCTCATTTTCACAGGAGAATGTACCTTAGAGACCCTGTCTGTCACACCTTAACACTTCTCTGACCTCTATTTCATTCAATTCAGGGTGATTATCCCAAAAAAGAAATGTTGCCTTTACCCTTGGTGTCGTTACACCGTAATCTCTGCAAACCTTCACCCACCGGCTTCTTCTCCCTTGTTGCATCCGCTCTTCCAAACTCCAACACATTTTCCTCCCTTGTGGTTAATGAGGCCACACTGTCCCTGTGCTTCACACATGGGTGTTACTTGGATAATCTGTGTCCTCTAGCAGCCAAACCTGCTTGATACTCTCAGGTCTCTGCACACTAACCTCAGGCCTGCAGAAGGGAAATGGCACAAATCAAAAGATCCTGCAGATCTAACAAAACTGTTAGCACTGATTCAATATTACAGTAAAAATATAACTCAAAATACATAATATATAAGATATAGTATAAGTATATAACATACAAGTGCAGCCACACTCATATTAATATATTTTTGAGAGATGCCTTGGAAATATATTCTTGCACAAATACCTCTTCACACAGTGAAAATTTATTTTGCTGAGTGGACTTTTTTCCACCACAGTTTTACACATTGTAAGCCTTGAGTATTGTGAACATTTGCTTCCACTCACCAACCTTAGGAGTTTAATATTTCGTTCTCTACCATAATTACTAAATGTCGAAGAAGCCACAAGGACAATCTTGACCTTTCCCTTCTTTATACAACATTTTACTGAGGTTCATCATTGTTCCGGCATCTGACCTCACATTGAATGCAACACTTGATGCTTGATGCTTGTCATGTGAAATTACTTCAATCCATATTTCATCAAAGCTTAATGCAGTTAACCAATACATTCTTGGAAATAAACAATCTTTATAATTATTTAATTAAATGTTCAGTTGATGGTTTACTAAACAACATACCTTCCTAATAGGATAAATTGAATGATTGTCTGCAGTTGTCAGTCTTTAACTAGTTCACATCCTGCAAAACTATGCAGAAAAGGTCCTTTTATACAGTGAACTACCTGAATCCACAAATAATATTTAAAGTTTTACACTTTTTACACATCCTTCTACTCTTGACAATATGGAGTCCATTGCTTATGGATACATGCAATCCTAATTGCAGCAACATTTATGGTAGCAGGTCAGTGAACCTGCAACAATCTAATGGTGACAAAGATGCACTCTTTGAAAGAAGATTGCAGTAAAACACTTATCATTATCTGCTCATAAAGAAGAATAGGAATTGGTTCCTATGGAGTTATTCGTTAAATAACTTGATTGTGTTACCTGTTTGTTGGGAGCTGTTGTTTGAGAACTATTATCTGACAATCCACAGTGGTGTGGTGCTTAACACCATCACCCCACAGCTATTGGGATTCCAGTTCAAATTTCTAGGCGCCGGAAGCTTTTTTTTTGTGAAGTTTGCAGGTTCTCCCCATGTATGCGTGGATTACCTCAAGATACTCAGGCTTTCTCCCACAGTCCAAAAATGTTAATCAGTGACACTAGACTGCCTCGAGGAATGAATGCGAGTGCGTTTGGTTGGCCTCGTAAAACTGTTTTAGGAGTAAGCGGTATAGCCAATGGATGGATGGATGCCTGCCAACCACGCAGTTCATGGCTCGTCTTCCAGTGTCCTCGGAAAGTGTGTTGAAGTATCCTTGGACAACTCACTGAATACCCTTGTTACTTTTAATATATCCATGAGCGCGTGTTTTCGAAAGACAACACCCGATAAGATTTTTTTTTATTCCGCTCAAAAAAGTTGTGCATGGGTTTCAAAACAAAAGAGCTATCACAAGTATTCCCATAAAATATAACAATAACATAGTATATATAAAAAAACTGTGTACTATAAAAATAACAGGGTACAAAATAGTAAGTGTAAAAGATGTGAAACTGAAAAGATGTGGACAGAATGAAAAGACAAGATAAGATAGTGACTCCGTCAGATGTGATCATAAATATTCTAAATGCCAACTCAAAGAACCAATACCATTGTCCAAAGCAATGCTCTTCATTGTTGTCAGGTGCTTTTGCAGCGTATAAATGATGTCACACACTGGACGGCCTGTCTCTCTGCTCGGCCCTAATTTGTAATGGAAAACCACTTAAACTGTGTAGAGCCAAGCTGTGTTTCTGAATAGGTACTAACGGAAAAGCCCCGTGAGTCTACAACTAAAAGTGCTGCTGCAGAAACCCACTGTGGCATCTTCTCCTCTGAAAACTCTGCCAGAAACTGCAGCTCCACTTCCAGGACCGAGCCAGCTTATCAAGTTTTTTGGGATCAGATGTATTCACCCTGGACCACCATGGAAAAGATGATGCTGGAGACCAATGAGGGATAAAATATCTGTAGCATGATCTTGCATATATTTAAAGACTTGAAGGTGACTCTTCCTTTTCTTGTGTTGGCTGTACAGTTTAGTTTATTGTCTATTTGGAACCCCAGTCCACAATGTCCACCTCAATACCATTGATATCGATTGGCTTTGAGGGGTAGGATACTCTCTGGTTTTTCCAATGGGTTGTTGGTCGTTCTACCCACACAACTCAACTAAGCTGTTCATCACACCTCTGTATTAAGCATCCTTGTGACTGGTGATGCAGCCCACAAACAACAGTCAGCCAAGAACTTCTGCAGATGGTAGGCTTGTGAGTTGTACCTGAAATCCAAGGCAGAGAGTCTGAACAAACATATAGGGCGAGAGT